CTATCTCTCTTATTCTTTAGCTGGGCCACATGCTGTTGTACTGTTTCTGAAGTTCTAGATGTAGTAGCTCTCTTGTGCAGCGTCGCAAGTGAGAGGGAGCCTCCTTGTGGAATACTGTGAAGTCGTTTCCATGGCAACTCGACTGTACTGTACAGTAGAAGCCGTTTTAAGGCACACGTACCCTGAGGGGTGTTAGGAGTGTCTTACCCCTACAGAATTTTCTTCCAGAGGGTAAGTCAGCTGTCTACCATGTTTGGTTGAAATTGCTCGAAGCGTTCCAGAGTTATGCTGGAACACACACACACACACGTATATAGATTAAAGGACAGCAAGCTACTCAATGATGTACGTACAATACAGATTGTTGTACATCTACATAAAAATGTTGCCACCATTGTTCTCATGATTGTGGAAACTGTTGTCTACCACACTCTCCTGCAGGAGAAGGCACAAACTGGAAGGTGCAAATTCCAAATTCTTAAAGGTAAAAAGGCTGAGGCTCAGAACGCTGATTTACTTTGAAGCCAATTGTTATTGTTAAATCAAAGATTTTGAAAAGGATGCAAACTTGGTAAGATGTCACCTACAGGTGTGGCAAATATCACAGTGCACATTCTGAATCAGGTTGAGTATCCCAAATTAACAGCTTATTGTAAGTGGTAGTACCTGATCAACCTTGCCTGGACCTGGTTAAGTTGTGGATGAGGGACATTCAGGAAATTATAGGACTATAAAGTAGATTGGGGAGTAGAAAAAATATTCTAAAAAGAAGTAATTGTGGGTCTGTCTCTGAATTTATCAGAAGTTGAGCTTTATTCAAAGGAGAATTTACACTCTATTATTGTGTAAAGTCTAGTCTATTTAGTTTTAGCGCAACTTGTAACCGTTTGTTTCTGCGTTCCAAACAATTTGAAACTGTATCAAGAATATCTTGTTGACAAGCCAAATATTCAACTGCACCACCTTTTCTGGCTAGCTGACTTCCTCCCTCCCTCCCTCCCTCCCTAATCCTCTAGCGGAGAAACTGCTTCAGTTTCCCAATTTCAGCCTTTAGAGTTCACCAAAAACGCAACGAGCTGCTTTCAATCACCTATTTTAGGGGCAATTTTAGTGTATGTTATTCACTTGGGGAGGATTTAAGTGCGGACATGAGAGGAAGTGCCAAATTCCCTCCCCACCTTAAAATCCAGAAAATAAGAGGTTTGGGCTTTCCAAGAAAATTGTCTGCTTACATTCCTATTTAATGTTATATATGTTTGAAAGGGGGACGTGGTGGTTCAGTAGCTAAGACACTGAGCTTGTCAATCAGAAAGGTTGGCAGTTTGGTGGTTCAAATCCCTAGCGCCGCATAACGGAGTGAGCTCCCGTTACTTGTCCAGGCTTAAGCCAACCTAGCAGTTCGAAAGCATGTAAAAAATGCAAGTAGAAAAATAGGTGCCACTTTGGTGGGAAGGTTCCGTGTGCCTTCGGCATTTAGTCATGCTGGCCACATGACCATGGAGATGTCTTTGGACAGTGCTGGCTCTTCAGCTTTGTAATGGAGATGAGCACTAGAGCCAGAAACAACTAGCACATACGTGCAAGGGGAATCTTTACTTTTACTTTATGCTTAAAAGACATTGATGGTTCTCCAATGATGCTTAGAAGTTGGATGACTGGTAGTCAAATTAAGCCAAGGGGATACCAAGAGATATAAACATTGATCCCATCTTGACTTTTTTGAATTTCTTCTGGCAGATGTTGTCCTAAGTAGAGGGAGGGGTCATTAAATAGGAATGGCATTTAAGCGAGTAGCTTTTGCGAGCTCCAGGTTTTCTGTTCTTGACAGTGATGGTGCCTTTTCAAGAGGCAATTGGACTTTCTTTGCTTTTCCTTGAAGACGTTTCAGCTTCTCATCCAAGAAGCTTCTTCAGAAGTTTCTTGGATGAGAAGCAAAATGTCTTCAAAAACAAAGAAAGTCCAGTTGCCTCTTGAAAAAGCACCTTTGGGACAACTATGACTGAGAATCTCTATAGACATTTCTCACATTTATGTTATGGTTTTTAACCTCCTTTTTAAAGACTCTACACCGTTAATAATTTGAAAGTGGTAACGCCAAACAGAATAAAGGTTTCTACATACAAAGAACCTTTAGATGTATCACTCTGCTAAACAAATAATTCCCTCAACACTGTCAAATTATTTACTAAGTCTGCATTACTATTACTATTAATCCTCCCATCCTTCCTTTCACCCATCTGCTCACACTTATGACTGTAA